GCTGCTGCCATCATTAGTCATACTTCTACTGTTATTATACACATATGATTATTATCACACATGTATACTGCCAGATACTAATATATACTTTCAACCAGGGATCAAAATTAGCAGTCGCCAGACGCCAGAGGCGACTAATTTTAACCCTTTGGCCAGTAAATGAAGTCACCTAACCAGCCACTCTGGCGAGTGAAAAAAATAGGGCCAAACTACTGTTGTTGTTGTTTCTCCCGCCCCTAGCTGTGTGTAGGCTACGTGATGTCATTGGTTGCGCGCTGGTGTCGTACAACACATCTTCAAGCCCACAACATGCCGCAAAGTGGGAGCTAGAACGTGAGCGTGCAGTTGGAGATCCACGGTCCGCCATTTCGACGCCCTAGAAAGGCTGATAAGGGGGTGCTGTGGCCGTGTTGCAGCCTTGCTGCCTGCTCTCTCCGGTTTTACGCCAGGCTCGGCTCGTTTCAAAGACTCCTTGCGAAGCACTCCAGTGACCGGATCTTTGCTCTCAAACCACAAAAAAAAATGTGATGGCACAACAGTCTCCTTCAGTACATTATTCTATGCTTTCTTTTGATTTTCACATTGGCTAGTCATCCTGTTTAATTTGTCTTCTGATTAAATGGGAACTGTTGAAACAAGTTGTGTAGAGCCGATACACTGCTGGTTCTGCCGGCCTGAATAGAATATAATGTCTATAGCCTTTACTGTTGTGTACAGCCTTTATAGACTGAGCTAAGTAGTGATGCGCGGGTCAACCCGTAACCCGCAGGACCCGCGGGACCTGCAAATGGACCTGTGGGTCGTTCAGCAGTGATCGTCTGTTAAATCGGTCTGTAAATGATATATGGCTATTACTGTCATGGCATCCGAAGGTACTGATGCATTGAGCAGGTGACAGTCCGCGGCCGTTTTCAAAACACACTTGTGTCACGTACTCCAAAAGAAACTTGTTGAAACTTTAAACAATAATTTATTGTACAAAACGGGGGAAACAAACGTTGACAAAAACGGTTCCATAATTCATATTAAATTCAAAAGATAACAAAAAAACAGCTACAAGTTAGAGGGAATAGTGATAAAGTGGTAAAACTTGGCATTGATCCACAGCCTCAGACGGATGCGCTCAAGCCTGCCGTGCGCACAAGCTCAGTTGGTAGGATAAGCCTACTATATTTTCACATTTTTAACAATGCAATTTAAAAGTTTGGATTTTTATTGATAACCTACATTTACCAACAACAAAA